AGTCTGCAGCCTTTCTGGCTCCCCCCATGTCCACGACATCCCAAGAGGGAACAGAAAATGATACCATCAGCATAGCATCCTCTGCCACTTCCACCAAGTGTGGGACTGAGACAAAGTCTCAAGACATTCTGGAGCACCCTGCTTGAGAAGCCTCTTTGGCAGGGGAAGATACCCCTGAGAAAAGGCAACTTGGGGTGACATATTTCCCCCAAATGAAGAAGTGGTCCTTATCTTACCTGTTGGACGACCACCAGATCATTAGGGGACTGTTGACCATCCTCGGTTTGTATGAAGATGAGAAGATGAACAGCCAGATGTTAAAAGCCACTTTTCCAGGCTTCAAGGAGAGCTGGTTAATTAGCATCCCTGAGATGCTTTGAAGATGAAGGCACTCAGCAATAAGTGCTAATTATTGTTACTGCTAATGGAAAGAGGGTCCTTCCCCTCCATGTTCATCAAAAATGTGCCAGGCACAGCTCCTCTTTTCAGTGGCTGAATATTCAGCTTTGTTTCATTTTTCTTAGAGAGACCAAGAGGCTATCCAGTCTGAGTTCAAAGGTATCTGTTGCAAGTTCTTGTAGCCATCCCTCTCAGAGATCACCCGGAGAGATCCTGTCTCAAGAGTGTACAGATGAACCCCACATCGTTGCCTAAACTTGGCTCATACCCAACACCTCTCATCTGCTCCAACTCAAGACTTTCTTGCCTGATCTCTGGAGTTGGATATGAAACAATTCAATATTATCCAGGATCACTTCAGACTTTCCTCAAATCAGGTCATACATTTTGTACATGGAAGATTCAGGCCTTCTCCTTTATTCCCAGCAGTGTTGCTGTGAGTCAGTTGAGTTTCTCCCTATAAAACATACCTTGGTTGGATTTCCCATCTTACATTTGGGAACATGCTAGTTTGTCCTGCACACGTCTCTTCTGCGCTTTCTCATCTGCACAAAGAAGAGTTAGATGGTAGAACTGAGTAGAATGGCCTCTTGGTATTCACCATTCTTTGGTGGGTGAGAAGAAAATGGTTTCACCAAATTTCTCCACAAGTTGAATTTCTTCAGCTTTTCAGGAATGATGTTGAGGCTTACAAGGGCAGTACCATAACTTTATTTCTCTGTTTAGAGGTCTCCTTCTCCTTCTCCTTCTCCTTCTCCTTCTCCTTCTCCTTCTCCTTCTCCTTCTCCTTCTCCTTCTCCTTCTCCTTCTCCTTCTCCTCCTCCTCCTCCTCCTCCTCCTCCTCCTCCTCCTCGTCCTTGCAGGTAACAAGAATGGTTGACCAGCACGTTGCACCCTCCAAAATGGCTTGTACAGGTTCTCATCATGTTATATTCTATGTAGGAAATGGCAGCTGCCCGCAGAAAGAAGCAGTGGGGAATATTTGCTGAACATTCTGTGATGGGGATTATTCTTCTTTTCTTTTTTCTTTTAATGGCATGGATAGAAAAGAGAAAAGAAAAGGATGGATTACAGACTTCATGTTCGTTTTGTAGAAGAATGTCTTCAGAGAAATGTGATTCAGCTACAGCTCAGAGCAGTCTAAGTTGTAAATATGAAACTGAGGGCCAAGACAAACTTACTTACCAGAATGTTTTTACTTAAAATGGGGAGCAAAGGTTTTGCTAGGGTGAAATATAGCCTCTTGTGCCCACATTCTTTCTCTCTGTCTGACTCTCTCTCACACACAAAGTTATCTGTATTTCATAGTGACAGCAGTGATGGGAAGTAACAGCAGGAACAATCAGCCTTCACTTTGTTGAGTTTCTAACAGTTACGAATGATGATGTAGCACGCTCATAAATCCAATTAGGAGTGAGGGCAATGTTTTCCCTACTCACTCTGCGGTAGGCCAGGAAGAACAAAATCCAGCCCATTTGCACTAAGATTTCAAGAGTGCTGTTGTTTCTGGCAATGAATTTCCCACTGGTTCTTGGGCATCTTTCCCCAGCCATCTCCCCACCACCACCCCCAGCAAAGAGGAAGAAAGCCAGAATCTCAAATTAATTTCTCTCCCAGCTTTGCTACCTAAGAAGCTTTTAATGGAGGAGAGGAGATTTTTTTTAACATGAAAAGAAAGTGCTTTGCTAGAAGGTTCCCCTCCACCCCCACCCCCTGCCCTACTTGGTTAACTGTAATCATGGCTGGTCCAGCATATTGGAGAAATAGAGACAGCCTCTTCTTCTCTGGGCAGAAGGTCAGAATTAGCATCCAAGGACCACAACCCTCCACTCTCCTCCCATTTTACTAAGGGAATTTGGAGCAAGATCTACAGCGAGCAGCTCACCTGAATCTACACACTGCTTTGTTCGTCCTGTCGTTCAGAAAACCCATACGCTATATTATATTTTTCTCAAAGATTTTCTAATCGGCTGTATGCTTAATAAGGCTAGAGGCACAAGAATTCATAAAGAAGCCCAGACTTGTGTGTTGTGTGTTTTGCACCCTTTGAGGCCATCCACTCTAACCCTTTGTTTAAACACTCCAGCCAAAGGAAGCTCATCTGGGTCATTGGTCCCACTGTCCTACTGCTCTTATGGTTAGGATGGCGTTCCTAACATTCAGCCAGAATCTGTGAAGGAATGGTTGGATGAAGGCCACGCTGGAGGAGATAAGCATTCCCTTAGCCCTCAACAGGAGCGTGGGAAGTTTAAGAAGATGAGACT